GGGGGGGGGGGGGCATCTGGGCAGCCTCCAAAATCATCTTGGGCTACCAGAGCCCACACACACACACACTCCCATCCGGCCTCTGGCCTGGCTTTCCTTCTGAAACGGAGGGGGGGCGCCCAGGGAAGGCAAACCCGGCCGTCGGCTGCAGCCCCTGTTCCAGGGAGCAAGGCTGGTGCCAGCAAGGGCAGCTCCTGGCCCCACCGGGTACGGCTGGAGCCCCTCTAGGGCAAGATGGGGGGGCCCTGCCCCAGAGGCCCCCGGCCGTGGGAGAAGCAGCAGCTGCCTCATCCAGCCTGGCACGGCCGGTGGAAACGCCCCTCCGGTCCCTCCTTCCTCAGCTGTCCGCTTCCCATGGGGAAACACGGCAGGTGTTGGGAAGGGGGGGCAGGGAGGCGCCCCATGGCTTGTGGGGTAAACCGCAATCAGGCCTTTACAGGGCCTGGCCAGGAGGGCCCCGCGTGCCAGAACCAGGGAGGCCAACGTCTCCGTAGTCCCCTGGGCCCTGCCAGAATCAGACGGTGGTCTGATGGGCACCCACAGGACACTGACGGACAAACGGTGCCCTCGGCTTGGACTCAGCTCCGCTCAGGGGGGGGAACGGGCATCCCGGATGCCCCCCTTCTTGAGGGGGGGCCAAGCCCAGCCATTCGGCCGGCTCCGTCGTGCCCCTGCTGCAGCAGACTGGAGAGGTTGCTCGAGTCAGTAAGCCCAGCCACAAGAACGGCACAAAGTTGTCAACCACACTTCCTGATTGAATTTCTCCCCACTGCCCCCCCACCCCCACCCCCACCCCCACAAGAGAGAGACTCCGGATAGCACAATGAGCTTATGAAATATAGTTTTGTTTTAATTATATTTGGGTAAAAAAAATAAAATCATACCACTGAAATGGAGCAGCTTTTGAACCCAAAAACACCACCTCGCAACCCACAGATGTTGTACCGTCCACTGAAGTGACCGAGGAATTCGAGGGGGGTCTGGGGGCCGGGCCCCACGCGGCCCCAGGAAGAAGCCAGGCAGCTTTCAGGGGTGCACGGAGCTTTTTTGGCCAAACAACACAAATTCAGCACTACAGCAAGCAAGCAGGGAGGAAAAGGGTTGGGGGTTTGGGTGGAAAGACCCCCCCCCTTGGGGAAGAAACCCTCAACACACAGCCAGACCGGGCTCTGAAAAGCACTGAGCCAGATCTGCCTTAACTGTGGCTCGCTGAACAGGCCAGCATCAGAGTAATTCACGCCTCACACCAAGTTCTGAATCCTGCCCTGGCTCACACGTTGCGTTCAGCTAAGGGGGCCGACCTAGAAAGAAGACCCCCTTGTGGGCAAGTAACCCCACCCGAGGACAGCCCCTTCTCCGCTCCTGTCTCCCTGACCCATTTGGGGCAGTGGGTGGTGAATGTCTCCCTTTTCACAGTGGCTGGGGGTTGGATTAGATGACCTCTAGGCACCCTTCCTACCTGGGGGATTTTGACACGCCCTCCCACCCTTCCCTGACTGGCAGCTCTCCTTTGTGCAAGGGGAAGAGACAAGCGCAACGTGTGAACCGGGGCAGGGCGTGGAGCTCCCAGGCTGGAGGGTTCACAACTTCAAATGGACACGCTGGACACCCAGGCCCACCTGCCCCGAATCTCGGGGGGGGGAGTCGCGTTCGCCCCCCCTTCTGTTCCTGCCACCAGAACACTTGTACACAGCAACACAATTCCAGAAGAACTTGGGGCTTATTGTCTAGATATAAACACACACACAGAAACACACACACACACATACAAACTATAAATTGACCCTGTCCTGCAGATGTGCCAGACTCCAGCTCCCATCATCCCCTGCCGGAGAACAGCCGGGGAACCCCTCAACATTCTGCTGAGTCCAAACTCCAAACCTCAGGTGGGAAAGGGCCCCCCCGAGGGCCCCCCTCTCCCTTCTCAGGGAAAGTGGTTGAAGGGGCCCCCTCAAAGGAGACCCCCCCCGCCAGGGCCACCTCCTGCCACCCCTGGGGGTGCCCACTTTGGGGAAAGCAGAGTCCGAGCACATCTATCCAGCCGAGGCAACGCACAAAGACAGCATTTCTGCACAAGCAGCGGGGTGGGTGGGGGAGTGGGGAGACCCCACCCCAAACAGCAGGCCACAACCATGTACCACAACCCCAGAGGGAGAACGGGACGATTCACACGTCGAGTCCGCAAAGCTGGGACCGAGAGACACCGAGAAGCACGAGACTGAAGACGAAGACGCCGTGAAAGAAACACCGAACGGCTGGCTCGGGGGAGGGGGTGGAAATCAGGCCCAAATGGGTCTGGGGGCTCCAAGGTCTGCCTTCTTCCCACCGACCACGCTGGGTCGCCAGCTGACCGGGACCCCTCCGGCTCCTGCGCCTCTAGCGGTCACCTGACCCACAAACGCCGGCCAGGTGGGGGTCTTGCGAGGGGGGAGGCTGGTCGCGGGGCGGATGGGCGTGATCGGGGGGGTCTGGCGGGTGGGACCCCCGGCTACTGCCCAAAGGTGGACTGCAGCTCCTTGAAGGCCTCCTTCCTCTGCTTCAGCTCCTCCGCCTGACGCCGCTTCTCCTCCTTCTCCGCCTTGATCTCCTCCTCAAAGCGGCTGGTTACGTTCATCGCCTGCACCTGCGGGGGGGGGCAGCCAAGGAGGGGGGGCAATCCCACCTTTTATAAGTCACTTATAAAAGGTGGGATGATCCTCTTCCTTCCGCCTCTTTTCCCCACAGCAACGTCCCTGTGAGGTGGGCCGAGAGTGACCCAAAGTCGCCCAGCCGGCTTCCAGGCTGGACTGTGTGAGTGAACCTGCCCCCCGCCCCGGTCTTTAGGCCCCCTAGCTGGTGCCCCCCCTCCTTACTTTGGCCTCGAAGAAGCTCTTGGCCCCCTTCACGCCCTCCGTGGAGACGTCGATCTCCGAGAGGCAGGCCAGGGCGTGCAGGCCGCTGTCTTCCTCCAGCTCCCCTGCAGCCGCTTTGCGGAAGATGAGGAGGAACTGGGGGGGAGGGGGGGGGAGATGTGGAAACGGGCCGGGGCTTTGGCCGAATTCCGCCCCGGCCACGGTTCAAGGGGTGGGGTGGGGTGGGGTGGAAGGACCCTCACCTCCCGGAAGCTGAGCTTGCTGTCCACGTCCTCGTCCACTTCCTTGATCATGGTCTTCAGGCCGAGGTGCGTCTGGGGGGCCCCCAGCTTCTCCATCATCCGCTTCAGCTCCATCAGGTCGATGAAGCCGTCTTTGCCCGCGTCGTACCTGGGGACGGGGCCCGGACCGAAGACCCGCTCAGCCGGCAGCCAGCCCTGTCCCGAGCGGCTGTCTCGCCCAGTTGACACCCCCCCTTGGGGAAACCTGGGTCCCTCTCCAGCAGCTCTGGACCGATGGGGCTGCCGAGGGCCGCACGGTTCGGGCCAAGGCCCCCCCCTGTCCCCGAGGCTGCCGACAAGTGTGTAGTTCTAATACCCCATGATTAGAGCTGAGTCGGCTGGGCTGCCTTTCTGCTCCCCCCCCCCCGTCGGCTGCACACTGGGGCCTATCCAGGTGCGATCTGCCACCCCCACCCCTTGCAAACCATTTCCATTTGGTGCAGAAGTGTGTCTGTGGGGGGGGCACCTGACTGGCTAGATTCAGGGTCCCAGGAACAGGGTCGTGAGGCGGGCCAGGAAGGGGCTTATAAAGAACCGGGAGGGGCTTCGGAGTTCCCAGATGTTCGGGGGGGGGAGGGAGGGGGTGCTTCAGCAACCAGGAAGCCAGGAGGGGGGGCTGCTAGCCAGCCACAGCTCTGCTCTTGGGTGTCCTTCCACAAGATGTGGTGGGGTTCAGTCATTTCCCCGAGAAAAGCCGGAGTTGCGATGCGCAAAGAGTTGGCTAACCAGCTCCTGTGAAAACTTCCTGCTCATGCGGGTGCCAACCAGCTCCTTCCGCCCCCCCCAGCTGGCCTGCCCGGGGGGGGGCAGAGCGGTTTGGCTGAGCGGTGAAGGACCCTGCCTTCATCTCAGGCATGCCCCCCCCAGGAGCCACTTCCGGGCCGCTAAGCAGGACCGGAGCCTTGCAGCAGCCTGTTTTGCAAGATTAACCCATGGAGCTCCCTGCCACAAGGGACTGTCTTCCAGAAGAAACCAGGCAGGGGAGGAACTGCCCAGGCTGCCCGCTTTCCCCGTGCCCCCCCCTGCAGAAGCAGCAGCGGCTCTCCACACCCGAGGCTGCGGAGGGAAGAGGCGCCCAGAGGAAAGGGCAACTGAGCCCATACCCAGGAATAATAATCGCCATCGATCGAGCCTGAGCCCCACAGCATCTGCTCAAGTCCTGGGATGGGAGGCCACCCGGAGATTGGGGCATCAGCCTGCCAATGATTTCAGCCGTGGCGGCATTTTTCATTTATGTATCTGCCTGTTCTATTTCTACGGCCACTGGATCTCAAGCGAGGGACTCTTAAGCTGGACCCACGCAGGGCTTCTCCCCACATTTTTCTCTGCAGAATGAAGTCAGCAACTGCATCAAGCCCTTCGGACACCCATTCCTCCTCTTTTGTCACTCAGGCAGCTTGTGCAACGCTTAACAACTGTGTGACACTGCACAACGAGCGCTTGTCAAGAATGCAACGCACGTCTGCTTTGCCGGAAACGGAGAGCCAGGCCAGCCAATTTTGAAGCCCCCCCCCTCCTCACCGCCCCAGCCCAGCAACTACAGGCTGGTCAGCCGTGGGCCCGGGAAGCCCCCCCGGTTCAGTTTCAGCCCCTTCTCCACCCAGCCGAAAAAGACTCTCTGGCCCCCAAAAGGATCAGAGTGGAAAGAACCATTCCCAAAGTTCCAGGACTCGGGAAGACTATCCCTGAACAGTGAGGCTCCATTAAGCCAGAGTCACTAGCCTAAATTTCTTGGCAGAATAACAGCAACCCAAGTCCGCTGCAGCCCTGAAGGTAACACGGGCTGCCTTTCCGCCTGGCGCTCTCTCGCCTGCAACCGGCCAGCCCCACGAACAGGCCGGGGAGCTGCAGAGCGCCTGGAAGGCGGGGGGGGGGCTGTCAAAATCCCCCCCACCAAACAGATCGCGGGCCGAAGTCCCAGTCCCCCCCCTCCCCGCACGCGCCCTTCGCAAAGGAGGCCCTGCGGGGGAAGCCGGGCTCGGGGAGACGCCGGGGCTGCGCCAACGGAGGAGGGGCGTCTGGGCCTGGGAGACCCCCGCCGGGGCTTCAGACGGGGCGGCCCTGGGCTTTCCCGCTACTTTGGACTCCAAGTCCCATCGCCCCACCCAGCGCAACCGGGCAGCTTCCAAAGCCGAGGTGGCCCGCAACCCCCTCGCCGGGGAGCTCTGCACGTGCCCAGAGGGCGCTTTCCCCAGGATGCGAGCGAGGCCTGCCTCGCATCTGCCCGCCGCCCCCTCTTCTGTCTGCGTCGCCCCGCTTTGGAAGAAAAGCCCCCGACCCTTCCTCGCCCTCCCCCCCCTTGCCGGGCAGCCCCGAGCCCGCGTGGGCGGGGCGGGAGAGAAGCGGCTTCCTCTGCGCCCCCCAAAAGACCCCGCGCAGCCCCCCGGGGGAGGGGGAGGGGGGGCACTCACTGGCGGAAGAGGCGCTCCATGTCCCTGATCTGCCGGCGGGAGAACTCGCGGAACTCGCTGTGGGGGCTGAAGACGCGGTGGGCGCCGCCTGGCGAGAGCTGCCCTGCCGGGGGGGCTGGGGGGCCCGGCGACCCCTCCGCCTCGCCCCCCTCCTCCTCCTCCTCCTCCTCCGCCTCGGCGGCCCCCTCCACGCGCAGGCGGCGGCTCAGCTTGCCGGCCAGCTCCTCCGTGGCCATCCTGGCGGCGGCGGCAAGAGCCGGCGCGCCTCCCCTCCGCCGGCCAGCCCAGCCCGGCTCCGCCCCGCCGGCCGCGGGAAGGGGGGCACGGGCGCCCAGGCGGCGGCGGCCCCCGAGGCGCCGAACCGCAGCTCCCATCATCCCGCGGCCCAGACGGCCGGGCGGGGGCTGCCGGGAGTCGTAGTTCCCCAGCCTCGCGCTCCTCCTGCAGGACCCGGGAGCGGGGAACTACAGCTCCCATCATCCTGGCCCCGGGGAGGCGAGCGCAGGTGTGGACCCAGCCGAGGCTCCGCGCTGCCCTTGTTGCGGGCCAGGCTGGGGCGGGGGGAGCGGAGGGTCCGGCAGCCCAAACTGCCCCCCACCCATCGCGGGAGCCTCTGCGACCCCCCGGCCGCTTGGCCAAGCGGAGGGCGGCACCCCCAATTTTTAGGCAGGACGTGAAGATGCAGGCATCTCCTCCTCCTCCTCCTCCTCCCCCCAGCAGGGGACCCCCCAACTCTGCTCCTCCTTCCTCTCCTGACCGCCCCCCGCACCAGGGAAGCCCAGGGGGGCTCAGTCCGGAAAAGCTGCCGTGGCACACCCCACGGAAGAAGGCCCACAAGACCCCCGAGGCAGCCGTGCAAACGGCCCACTGGGCTCTGTGACCCGGTGCCGATGCGCAGGGAGCCCAGGGGAGGAGGAGGGGGACCTGGAGGGAAGGAGGGGGGCTTGCATGGGGTGGGGGCAGGGACCACAAATACCAACCCCTCCCGGCCGTTGCAAACTCGGAGGGAAGGAAGCGCCAAAGACCCCCGAAAGCAGATCCCAAGCAAACGAGGCAGAAAAACGGAAGCCTTTTTCGGAGAGCATCTCTGCTCCTCTGCGCCAACCTCTGGGGGGATTTTGGTCCCCTGAGGAGGGCCAGGCCACCTTTGGGGTGAGGACCTGGGGCCTGTGCCCCGGATTCCGTCCCAGAGACCCTCCCAGCTGCAGGGCCGGGTGCCAGTCGCCCCCTTCCCTTCCAGAAAGGGTCCCAGGATAAGCGGAACAGGGCGGTGGGGGCCGAGAACCAGCCCTCTCCCCACAGGGGTGGGAGGGATCTGCAAGAGGAGTGAAGGGGCCACAGAGGGACCCCCCCCATTAAGCACCTGCAGGCTTTCCTGCCAGCCTCAGTATCCCATCCCCTAACAGGAGCAACACACACACAACTGCACTGCCACACACGGTAGGCGGCACCTTTAACCAGCGCACAAAGAAAGCCACTGGGGTGGGGGGTGGGGAGGAAACATTTCGTCTCTCTCTCCAGGGTCAGGGAGGCCCCCCCCAGGCAACGATGCTGCCCTCCCTGTTGGCACAAAGCCTCTTTCTCCCGCCTCCTGTTCAAAGATCGCCACTTTGGTTTTTCAAATTTAAATAAATTAATATATAATTTAAAAAACCCTTAATCTACAATCTTTTTTTAAATAGGGCTCCTGCATTCTTCAACCTGATGGTCATGACCATCGTAAGCCAAGGGGGGGGGGCACGTTATAAATCCCTGCCCCTCCGGTCAGGTCCATCTTGGACCTCCACGGTGAGGCCACCACCACCACCACCACCCCGTGTGGCCCTGGGCACAGTCAGTGCACGCTGGGACCCTCGGGGCCAACAGAGGGAGGCCGCATCCACCGCCTGCCCTCCATTTCCAAAGAGAGGGAGGGGGAGGGCAGGGGGGGGGCGCTTTGTCTCTCCCTGAGCATCGTCCTGCCTGGACGCCTCCCAAGGAGGAAGAAGGGAATGGGGGCAGCGTGGGTGGGGCTGGGGGGGTCCTCTTGATGCCCACCTGCCTTTCCACCCCTGCTTCCATCCCAAGGGAAGGGGGGGAAGAGGGGGGGCGTAGAGGAGCCCCGGCCCCTCCCTCCCTCAGCTGCCTTCAACACAAAGAAGGGAGGAAGAGCGAAGGCTCTCCCCACAGTCCTGGGGGAAAGATTTGGGCTCCCCCGCCCCCGAGCTCCGGGCATTGGGGAAGGATTGGGGAGTGGTGGGCGAGGGGCGAGGGGGCCTGAGCCCGCCAGGGGCTTCTTGGGGAGAAAATGATGCCATTATCCCATTGGGCTTTTGAGTGGAGGGGGGAGGTGGGGGGGGATTGCCCAGCCGTCACATCAAGCTTAGATCTGCACCCACACAGATCCCAAGGCAGACGGAGGAGGAGGAGGAGGAGGAGGAGGAGGCGACAACCACGGCAGCTTCGGCTTTCGTAGAACAGGCTCCATTCAGGGGAGAGAACACCAGAATCCTGGCTGCCCCCCCCCCCCCCCGCTTTGTGCTCATGCCTATTCTTTGACAGCTCCAGGAGGCATTTTTTAGAAAATGCCTCTGGTCTGGATTGGGGGGGGAGCCCCCCAACGGCCCTCTCCCTTTGGGCAGGGAGAAAGGGCCGAGCGGAACCAGCAGCCTCCCCCTCCATGACACACTGGGGTGCCAGGCAAGAAGAGGCCGCCCCCCCTCCCTCATGTCCAGCAAAGGAGGCCGGATGGGTGGGGGCGCTGGGAGCAGCTGGCCAGAGATGCTCTTGGGGACGGTCAGCTTCCTGCCAAGCCGGAGAAGCCGGAGAAGAAGCAGGAGGCGCACAGCTATGCGGGAGGGTGCAATCGGGCCTGGGGGGGGGGAGGATGGAGGGGGGGGCAGAGCAGAGCCTCCAGCACAGATGGCCCGGCTGCTGCAGAGCGCTCCCGGCTGAGAGGGAGCCCTGTCCTCAAACGACCCCCTCGGATGCTGCAGGAAAGCGTGCCACGGAGGGAGGCCGAGGGTGGAGAGTGGCACCCGTGGCGTTTCTGTGAGGAGGGGGGGGCAGCTTCTTCGGCACCCGAAGGGAGCTGGGTGGAGGGTGAAGCCGTTCCCTTGCCCACCCTCCTTATTTCAGGGAGAGTCTGCGGGCTGTTTAAGGGCCCTTGTGGGGAAAAAGGGGCCCAGAATGTTTTTACTGAGATGTTGGGCAGAGCCAGTATTAATCCCATCTAAGGGGCTGCCCCAAAGAAGAAGAAGAAGAAGAAGAGGGGGGGGGGGTCCCGCCTATTCTCCAAAGCCCCTGAAGGAGGCAGGAGAAGAAGCAGCGGAGGGGAACTTGTGGAGGGGGGAAGCAACCTGGAACGGAGGAGGAGGAGGAGGAGGAGGAGGGGGGATTTCCTGAGGGTGGGTGGGTGGGTGGGGAGAGCAGAAGGGGGCTTCCCCGCAGAGGTTGAGGCTGCTCCCTCAGGGGAGCCCCCTAGAGGAGGCTGGACAGCCTTTTGTCCAGAATGGCAGAAGCTCTCCTGCTTGACCAGAGGGTTGGACTGCTACACCTAAGCACATTGGACGGCTGTCCGTGAAAAGGAAAAATAAGTGGGGGGAAAGAAAAAACCCCCACCCTCCCCGTTTCTCTTACCTTGGAGAGCTGGCTGCCACATTCGGGGGGGGCGGGGGGGGCGGAGAAGAACGGCTGTTTTGAGCCACAGGATCCCGAGACCTTCCTTGGAGAAAATGTCCTTGAACGGAAAACAATACCTGAGATTTTGTTTTTAAGCTGGATGCTGAAGTAACCGGGAGAGCAGAGAAGAAAGAGGGATCCGTTCCGTGACAGAGATCACAACGGGACCCATTTGCTTTTTCCTTTTTTTACTTCAGTGAAGATACTTTGTGGGTGCTCGCATTTCACCCCAAAATGAACACCTGGGATCTTTAACTGAAGGCTTCCCTCTTTCCCACCGAGAAGCCTCTGCGGAGCCCTTCCAGGGCCGGCCCAGAAGCCGTGTCCTTGTGGGTGCCAAGCACCCCCTGGCGAAGAGCAAGGGGGCCCCAAGGGTGCATGAGGGGGGAATTTTGCCACCCGAACAAGGGGCCCCCTTTACTTCTCCGGTGTCCTTTCATGGAAGGCGCAGGGCGGCCAGGCCCGCTCTCTGGGAAGGCCCGTCTCCTGGGGCAGGTTGGGCAGATGTTCCTTCTCCGCCCTCCGGAGAACTTGCCAGCTGACCAGCCTTTTTGCCCGGATCGGGTTTGCCTTGGGCTGGGTGGGTTTCTGGCAGCAGACTGCCTCAGAGGGCACTTCCAGAGGGACCCACGGACGGGCGCAGAGGGCTAATGGCTGGTGCGGAGAGGAGAGTCGGACTGACGGACAGGCCCTCTGGGGGACGCTGGGATGGGCTGCAGTGGCAGAGCCTCCCTTGACCCTCTTGCTTGACCCACCTGCCTGGGCTGCCCACCGACGACCCCCACTCCTTGGCAGCGGGCACCACCATCCTACCGGATCCTCCCCTGCCGCCAGCCTCGTGTCTGCCGGGCGCCCCCACTGCAACGGCCGGGACCTGGTTTGCTTGGGAATCCACCTCTGAACCGAGCGCAGCCATCCCGGGGTCCCTGCTGCTCCCGGATTTCGGCCTTCACCCCATTTTTAAAACAAAGGGATGCCCCCCCCAAGTGTCCAAGTGAGGGCTTAGCAAACCTTGGTTCAGCCAGAAAGGCCAAAGTGAGCAGGTGGATGTTGCTTAGACCTGGAAGTCAAAAAAACATCCTAGGCGGAGACAAGCAACGTCTCTCCTCGGACCCAGAAAACTTCACGGATGTCTCTGTGAAATGGCACGTATCAAGTCTCATGTCACCCCCAAAGTCCCCATGAAACAGCCCGCAGACCCCACTTGTTCATTATGAATGACTGTCCCGAGCCCTAGCCCCTCCCCAGTGGCAACGAGGCCCGGCTGAAGCCCACCCCTCTCTCCCCAAAGACGCCAGCTGACACCGTTGGCAGGGCTACAGAGCGTTTATCCGTCCTGGCCTCCCTCCGGGGTGCTTTTCTCACAGTCGAGGCACTCGGCCTGTCCAGAGAGGCCACCAGCTGTCCGGACGAGGCGCCTACACGTCTTTATAAAACACATCGTTTTTGCACCGTTTCTCCTATTTACAGCGGCAGGACGGTTCCTACCCCACAGCACTCCGGGAAGGGGGCAGCCTAAGCCCAGCCGCCGCAAGACACTCGGGGTCTGCCGGCCTCCCTCGGCCCCTCGGCTGCCTTCGGACTTTCGGAGGGCGGCTTCCGTGGGGCTGGCGTCTACAAAAGGCAGGGAGGGGAGGGCGTAAGGACACGCGGGGCGACCCAGGCATTTCAAACAGTGACAACGTGGCATCTGCAACAGTTTATTCCCCTGTCCTGCCGAAGGGTTGGAAGAGGAGGGTTTCCCCCCCCCTTTCTATGTCTGGTCTCTGGGGAGACCCATCTCCCTTTCAGCCCCCCTCCAACTTCCAAAGCTCCTGTAGGGACAACCCTCCCCTCAAAACGTCTCCACCTCCAGTGGCAGCCACACATCAGGCATCTGGGCAGCTTCGGCCCTCTCCCCAGGCCTGAGCTGGGGGTCCCTATTCGGGGGAAGAGGGTCCCTGATGGTCTGAAGTTTAGGGTTAGGGTTAGGTCACCATGAACTCCTAGAGCAAAATGGACATCGCCACACTCACTATTACACCCACCCTAACACTCGCCCTAACCCTAACCCAGTGATGGGTAAAATGCATGGGAAAATCCCATTGGAGGAAAATTCCATTTAACCAACATGCCTGCATTCCCACCTCCCACCTGGCTATGCTGTGGTTTGCGGTTGGTGCCTCCCATGTTTCTGGGCCCAGGCGCTGGGTGCTGTGTGTACCAGCCAAGCAGGGCCTGGGTCACCCCAGACCAGTGAAGGCCAAGCCAGACCTCTGGAGACGTCACGCCCATCGCAGGTGGTCGGAAGCTGTTTTGGGCACCAACTGTGGGATGAGGGCTCTTCTTCTGCCTCCCGTTTCGGGTGGTCCCTGCCGCCCCTAGCCCTGTGGCGGCTTGCCCTGTGCCTGTGGCCAAGACCAGGTGGGAAGCAGAGAGCTGGTCCAGAAACGGGACCGCCAGAAGCTAAGAATCGCAGGGGGAGAGCTTGGGGTGGGGGGAGAGCCACCAGCTGGCATCCTATCCCCCTGCCCCACCCGGCCGCCCCACAGGAGGATCAAAGGCCTGGCCTCTCAGGCAGAGAAATTCATCCTGCAATGGCTGCTTCCCTTCCAGTCTGCTGCCCACAATGAGCCCCTCTGCCCAGTCCTTCCCAGGGAGAGGCTGGCACGACACTGGCACGCAGCCCCGGTCGGATGCCACAGGGCCGCTTTATTGTCGCCTCCGCCGGTCCCGGGTGGCCCCTACCTTGGGCTTCTTGAGGGCCTTGTTCAGCCTCTTCTCTTTGCTCAGCTGCAGCCGCGTCCTCTCCAGCGCCTCCTTCAGCAGCGCCTTCTCCTCCGCGTCCCTGTGGACCTGGTCGGCCAGCTTGGCCGCCTCCGACTGGCAGGCCTGCAGGCTGTGCCTGTTGCTCCTGCACAGGGCCAGGGAATTTGCCTGGGCTGCAGACCCCCTTCTCCCAAGCCCTGGGCTCCTCGGCACCCTCCCGGCCCCTCCTGGCTAAGCGACCCCCTGCCTCCTCCTCCTCCGCCTGGGCACGGCTCCCCCTCCCCACCGCCCGGGGCTGGCGGTGGTACCTGAGGTGCCCGGCGTCCCCCTCGTACTCCTTCAGCAGGGACTCCTTCCTCTCCAGGCGGGTCTTCAGCTTGCCGATCCTGTCCAGCAGCAGCTCCAGGTCCTTCTGGCGCAGCAGGCCCACCTTCTCCCTTTCGGCCTGGGGCAGGTGCTTGAGGGTCCGCAGGCCCATCAGCTGCTCCACGTCCATCAGGCCGGAGAGGCCCCGAACAAGGCTGAGGTACTGGGGGAGGGGGGGCGGGAGGGAATGGAGGGGGGGGCACGGTGAGTCCTTTGCCCTGGGAAGGCCCAGCCGGAGGGTTGGACGTGTGGAGGAGCCCAGGCAGACCCCTTCCCTGCACCCAGAGCAGAAGAACCGTCCCCCAGGCCCGTCTGCTTGCTGCCCATCTCCCTCCCCGGCTGGCTGAGACCAACACTCGGCCCATTCTCCGCCTCTCGGGTCCTGCCCCAGGCTAAGGTCAGGCTGTCACTCCTCCCGAAGCCTGGACAGGTGAGAGGGAGCCATGACTCGGGGGAGGGGGGTGGGTCTCCCCACGTGAAAGCCAGCAGCCTCCCCTACCAGGTGCTCGCTGAGGTCCAGCGCCTCCGCCATCTGCAGCCTTGCAGTCCTCTCCGTGGCCACGTTGGGGTCGATGCCGGAGGGCCCAGCTGGAGGCTCCGAGGGGGGAAAGGCAGTGAGAGCTTCTGAAGCCCCTGCGGGGACTCGCGCCTGGAGCCTGCCTGGCCCCTCTGCCCTGGCCGCCCCCCAGAGCTCAGATTACCTGGTGGGCATCCACTGCCACCGTCAGCACCGTGGTGGGGTCCTTTCCCTTCGCCTGCTCTGGCTTCTCTGCCGGCCCTTTCCGGACAACCAGAAGCGGCTCCGACTTCTTCGCCTCTGCAGGGGGGAAAGACGTGGCCCCGTTCAAGGCCAGGCGAGCCGGACCGAGTCCCTCCACCGTGTCTGAAGGCACTTTGGGGTCAGGATCGGAGCTCTCAAGTTCTTAGCTCTTGAAAAAGACAGGATCCATTCGGACCAGAAGAACCCAAGGAAGCGCTGTGCTGGGGGGGGACCCCGAATGCCGGAGGCCAAGCGGCCACCCAGAGCAAGTGGTCCCTCACTGACCACTTAAGTTTAGGCCGGGGCTCTCCAACCGTGGCCACTTTTAAGACTAAGCTGGCTGAGCAGCTCTGGGAGTTGAAGTGGCCAAAGTCTTGAAATGGCCACGCTTGGAGAGCCCCGGTCTGGACCCAAAGGCAGCTCCTTCCTGGCCATTCCGCCCCCACCACCCCCACCCTGACACACGAGGGGGGCCCTCTCCTCCTGTCCTCGGCCGGGTCTCAAAACGGGGGAGCAAACGGGAGCTCCCCTCAGGCCCCAGCCGAGCCCCCGACTCACCCTTCTCCAGCTTCCGGAGCTTCTTGCGCAGCTCGGCCAGGGCCCCTTTCTGGCGGTGGATGACCTCCTCGTGGCGGGAGCCTTTGCACCTGGCGCCCAGGTCGGCCAGGCACAAGAGGGGGGGCTCCTGGAAGCGCAGAGACACCCCCTGGCACTCAGCACTCCCTGTTGGAGCCAGAGGGCACGAGGGGGGGGGAACCTTGGGCCGAGGGCTCCTGCAGCTCCCCAGCCGGTGGGCCGGCCTCTCTTCCCGTCTCTTCTGCCTCCCTCCTTCCCAGAGGTCATCTGAGGTCACCCTGGCTGGGGACCAGCGCTTCAGGCAGCTCCAAGGCCCCTCGCCGCCAACCCGCAAGGCCAGGAGGATGGGCACTGTACTCCCAAACTGCTGGACTACTTCATAATCATCAGCAGCCCAGCCATCGCCCCTGGCCAGTGGGAGCCACGCTCCCCAAAGGGCGCGGAGGCTCAGGAGCAGCCCTACCCCGTCCCCCTCAACCCTCCCAGCTCTGACCACCTGGCAGGGCCCAGGATCCCTCCCAACCTGGCTGGCAGGCAGAAGGAGCAGGCCCAGGTGGCTGTTCCCTCCCGCAAGCTGCCGTGCCAGCCCTTCCTGGGCAATTAGAGCCACAGTTAGGAATGACAAAACTTCAGACTGGCAGAGAGGTGTGATAAAAACATTGACTGCTTACGGAGAGCGAGACGCGGGCATCCTTCTGCGCAGCCCCCTCTGGGCAGGGACCCCGGCAGGCCCTCCCCAGCCCCCAGAGGGCTCCCGTCGGCCCCCCACTTGCCTTTACAGCAGGGGGGGTCTCGTCCTGCAGGGCCCCCACCGTCTGCACGCCCTTGTGCTGCAGAACCCTGGCCGGCTCCCCGGCCTTCGCCTCCTGCGCCAGCAGCTCCTTCACCTTCTCCCTGGCCTTCCTGCAGCAAAGGCGGGAACGATGGGAGCAGAGGAGACACGGGGGGGAGGGGGACACACACACACGCACACACACCGTGGCCATTCCCAATTCCGTCCCATGAACCTAATGGGCTCAGCAGTACAGCGAGTTCTCGACTTACGATCACAATGGAGCCCAAAGTTTATGTTGCTAAGTGAGACACGTGTTAAGTGAGCTTGCACCCATTTTACGACCTTTCTCGCCACCATGGATACATCAGCCACACGGTTGTTAAGTGAGCCTGGCTCCCCCCCTTGACTCGGCCTGTGGAGCAGAGGGGGGGGGCTACGTTCTCGGGGAGGCCCCTTCACCTCAACTCCTCCGTGGTGGCTTGGAGGTGGCTCTCCCTCTGGCCCAGCCGCCTGGAGGTCTCCGCCAGCTTCTCCCGGAGGAGGCCGAGCTCCTGGGCCTGGCTCTGCACGAGGCCCCGCTTCTCCTCCAGCTCCGCCTTCTGCTTCTCACTCAGCTCCCCTGCGGAGGAGAGGAGAGGGGGGGGGCTCCCTCAATCCCCCACCCCTCCTCCTGGAGCCTTTTGCCCCAGGCGTGCTCTGGGCCCGGCTGCCCTGGGCTCTGATCTGGAGTGCCCCCCTTCCCCCCGCAAAGAGAGGCAACCCATCAATTCCCCCCATGGGGGAGCGGAGGGTCGGAGGGGACGGGCAGAGCTGTCTTACTTAGAGAAGAGAGGAACTGGTCTAGTTCCGTTTCTACTTGGAAAGGGATTCTGAGCTTCCTGAATAAGAGGAAACTTTGGCTTTAGGCTCTGAGGCTGAGCGTGAGTTGGTTGTTATGGAGATGGCTGAGAAACACAGAGCCAAAGGTTGAAGTTTATCCTTCTTTTTGTGCTCTGCTGCACTGCTCCTTCCTTCCTTCCTTCCTTTCTTTTTCTTTGCCCCCTTCTCTTAGCTTTCTAACTTTTTCCTTCCTTCCTTCCGGGTTATTGACCCATCGTGAACTTTAATAGAAAATTCAAGCTGTGTACAGGCACGAAAAGGAAGCGGCTGGAGGAAGGCGTTAAGCATCTGTGCCCCAAGCGACACGCGTGTCACAAACCGATCACGTCGGACATGGTGGCCCTGGCCTGGCAAAGCTCCTTCTTCAGCTCCGCGATGACAGCCTGGTTGGCCTGGATCTCCTGCTTGGCGGCCGCCAGCTCCCCCCTGGGAAGGGCGAAAGACGGAGACCCCCGCTGGAGACGTCGTAAGGTTTCTTCAGCCTTCTTCCGGCTTTGCTGGGCGATCCGCCCAAAGGAAACTTACTTCAGGAAAGCCTGAAACTCCTCCATGACGCTCAGCCCTGGGGAGGCAGGCAGCAGGGGGGGCCTGCAAGGCTCCTCCTTCGTTTCTGGAGGGGGGAAAAGTGGCGGGAGGATGCGGGAAGCAGTCCGGGCTACGGCACGTTTCTTAGAAAAACCAGTTTGATTTCCCGCATCGGGACGAGCGCAAAGAAGAAGGGAGTGAGCCCGAGAGAAGCCCCTTCCCAGACGTTCAGGAGTCCACAAAATGTCTTTTTAGAATTACTTCCAAATTCCCCGGAGGGCTCTTTGCCCCAAAGAGGCGACTCCCCCACCCCACCCCACCCCCCACGCCCCCGCTGCGGCTGGGAAGAGGGCTGCAAGCAGGGCCCTCCTTTGCACTCGGCGGTGTCTCCGGCCACGGAATCCGCCTTGCCTGCCTTCCCCGGAAGGCGCTCACCGCCTGCCTTCCCCTTGGCCCACGTTCCCCCCGGGGTGGCTCTGGTGGCGGGAACAAGGGGAGCGGGAGCAGGCTGAAGGTCGGCCCAGCGGCCGGGAGCTTCGGTGCAAAAGAGGTGCAGAAAACCCCAGGGAGGCCCCTCCTGCCACGGGCCAGCTCAGGGGGCCACGGGGTGGCCTTGGGAGACTCCGCACGCTGCACTGACCTCTCGGCCGGGACACCCCCCGGTCCTCCTCCGCCTGCTGGGCCGCGCTGACCAGCCTCTCCTCCAGCTCCACGATGGTCCTGGCGTGCTGCTTGACCTGCTCCTGGTACTCCAAGATCTCCTGCTGGTGCTTCTGCCGCAGGGACTCGGCCTCCGCCTCCAGGCCCTGCAGCCGCCTCTCCCGGGCCGACAGCTTCTCTTCGGCCACCGCCTGGCAAAGGGAGAGGCAGGGGGGCACCGCTGGACGTGGCCTGCCCTCCCTCCAAAAGCCCCCCAAAGAAGGAAGGCCGGGCTCCCCCCGCCCCCAATTACCTTTCCCCTCTTTGCATCCTCCAGAGCCCCCAGACTCTCTTCCGCCCTGGTCTTTAAAGCCCTCTCCAGGTGCGTTCTCCCTTCGATCACCTGCAAGGCAGGGAGGGGACGGGGAGGTGAGCGGGGGAGGGCCAGGCTGCCCTCTTGGCCGGCTGGCCTTGAAGTTTAAAAATCTGCTGCAAGACATTCAACGCTGAAAGGAAAATGCAGACTACAAAAAGTCCGACTAAGTGCGGGGGGGGGGGGGGCGCTCAGAGAAAACCCACCTGCGGCCCATCCCAGGGCCCCGCAGGGCAGCCGGACGCAGCCACCCACGGCCACCGCCCCCACCCCTGCGGCTGCTGAAGGGGCTGCCTCTGGAGGACGGCTCTGCCCCGGCCTGCTCCCCCCACCCACCCCCGTTTGCAACCAGAGGAAGACAATACAGGTAGTCCTCCACTTACAACAGCTTGTTTAGTGACTGCTCAAAGCTACAACGGCACTGAAAAAAGTGACTTAGGACCGTTTTTCACACTTATGACCATTGCAGCATTCCTGTGGCCACACGTGATCAATATCCAGAAGCTCTGGAGCAACTGACTCCCATTTATGACGGTGGAAGTGTCCCGGGGGCATGTGATCCTCCCTCCCCGCCTCTGCCTCCCGCTCTGCCTCCCGCTGCCTCCGGCCGGCAGCAGCAATGGGGGGCAGGAAGGGGGCCGCCCTGGCACCCACCTGGGAGAGTTCCTTCAGCTCAGCCTCCAACAGGCGGCCCCTCTTCCTCTCCTCTTCCAGGGCTTCTTGGGACTTGGCTTCTTCCAAGGCGGCCCTTCCGGCCAGGATCTGGGGGCAAAGGGACCCTCTCCGGTGAGTGAGCGTGCCTCAAAGGAGGGCCGGAGGCTGGCAGAAGCCCCCCCACCCTTTCTGGCGTGAGGAGAACCGGGCCCTTACGGGGGGGCCCTTCGGCTCACCTCCTTCTGCTGCTTCTCTTCCTCCCGAATCTTCCTCTCTCTGGCCCGAAACTCTCCCTCCAGCCGCTCCTCCAACTCCTCCAGCCTCTCCCGCAGGGCGGAGTGCTGGGACTCTTCTGCCCTCCGCAGCTGGTTCTGCAGGGGAGAAGCTGCACCCTCAAGAGGGGCTGAAGGGTAGCGGTGGGCACGGAGGGTCAGCCAGACAGCGGCAGCTGCTCTACTCCAAAGGGGGAGCTGTTACCTGCAAGGCCTGGACCTGCCCCGTGACGCTGTGGTGCTGGTCCAGCAGCTGCTTCATGTAGGAGGCCATTCCTGGCAGAAGGGAGAGCGGAGCTTAGGCCTGGCATCCACAGAGGGTCCCCGAGGACCGTTTGCTCAGCTGGGGGGGAGCATCCTGAGACTGGAGGAGTCCTGAGCAAGCAGGGTCCCTGCCAAGGACTCTGGGAGTTGAAGTCTCCACGTCTGCAAGAGGCCCAGCTTGGGAGAGACTGTCTTAAATGCAATTTGATTCCAGATAATATTCAAGGACTTCCCTTTAGGTTCACCCCTGCCCCCTTCAGCCACGTTCAGGCCAATACAAGAATGCCAAGGGTGGGGGTGGGGGGCGGGGGGGGCGCTACTCCATTCCTGGTCAATGTAGAAATCTACCACTACAATCCAGACTTTTGCTGGGCTTTCAGAGGCTGGAAGAACCAAGAGGGGGCAAAAGGGGGACCAGGGCATGCATACTTCCCCCCAAAAGAAGGCCCCAAACAGACCGGAGTCTCCCCTTGGATGCCCAGCCCCGACCCAGCCTGGCTTCTGCTTGGGTTTCTGGGGGGGGGGGAGAAAGGCTTTCACGCTTGGCCCTGCCTGCCCCCCACCAAGGCAACCCCTCCCTGCCCAGCTCTGGGGGACCCTGGCTCTCCGCAGGCTGGGTGGCCTTTCAGCAGGGCAGCTCAGCCGGAAGGGAGGAGAAGACGGACCTGGGTCGCCAGCCGGGGTGTCCACGCCCATGTTCCTGAGCAGAGACTCCAGCGCCTCCACCCAGCCCAGCACGCCGTAGAGGATGCGGGCTAGAGAGGCCTGGATCCCTGAGGCCAGGGGGGCCGGGAGGGGCAGGCTCTGCAGGCGGGTGATGGCCCCCTTCAGGCTCTGGGCAGAGAAAGAGGTCTTCAGGAACTCCTGGGGAAGAGAAGGGGGGGGGGGGGAGACGGTCTGAACAGGCCTGTGCTCAGGAGGATTTCTGGGGAGGAGACTCCCCCCCCCAGGCCAAGGGAGGCTAAAATCCTGCTTCCTGCAAAGGACAGGAAGGGGAGTGGCCCCTCATTTGGGCACCTGGGCAAAATAAGGCTCCACCCCCACCCCCAGGCTCAGCAGGGCAGGTATTCTGGGGGGGGGGGGGAGACCTGAAATCCATCCAGCGACTTCTTCAGCAGGGCCAGGTTGGAGGAGAGCTTCTCCATTTCCAGGGCCTGGATCTGCATTTCCTTCTGCAGCCCGGCCTCCTTCTGCTCAGAGCCCTGCCTGCCCTCCTGCACCTGCCGGATTTCCTCCACAATCTGGGGGGGGGGGACAGAAAAAGCTGGTCTGCCGAAAGAGCGGGCGGTGGTGCCTCTCTGACCTTCCCACCGTTTCCCCTGAGCGTCGAGTCGGCCCTCTGCCCTCCTGGCCTAGCCACTTATGGGGAGACGGACCAAACAGGGGTGCCCCCCCCCATCCTGAGGCTGTTACCTGCTCATTGGTTAGGGGTTTCTCGGGAAGTTCGGGGAAGAGGGCCCTCACGACCTGGTCCCGGAAACGCTGCGCCTGGGGGCAGCAAAGTTCAAGGGCAGGAGGAGACACGCCCCCCACTCCCCCCACACACACTCCCCTGCCCCAAGGAAGGAGGGGGGAGACAAGGCAGAGGGGCAAGGGACTCCTTGTGCCCTGGGGAAGACCCCCCGGTGGGTGGGGGAGGGGAGGGGGGAGCACCTGGCCTACCTGAGCGGCTGCCTGCTCCATCTCCGCCCGCAGGAGGCGCTCTCGGCGGCCCAGCTCCTGCACCTGCTGGCCTCGCCTCTGTGTCTCTTGCTTCAGCTGCCCTTCGGCCTGGAACCGGGGCAGGCGGGAAGAGTGAGGCCATGCAGAGCGGGACCCCCGGGCCCAGCTGTGCCCCCGGGGGCCAGGGCCGCCCTGCCCACTCACCTGGGTGGCCTCCGCCAGCCTCCGGGTCAAGGTCTCCTGCTCTGCGCAGCGTTTTCTGATCTCCTCCTTGGACTGGCCGGCCTGCAGCTCCAGCTCCGCGATCCGCTGCAAAGGCACCGGGAGAGGGGATGAGGGGCTGGGGACCCCGCTGGCTCTGACGACCGAGGGGCCCGGTTAGTGTGTGAGGAGGGCAGGGGGAGCCTTCCTAGGGGAGGAGGCAAAACGAGAAGGCTACAGAAGCCCAAAGCCAACGGTTTCCACCTTCGTGCCGATAAAAAAACAATGGAGGTTAGTTAGTCAGTTAGTTGAGACCCAATTTCTGCCTCAGAGGCCTGAGGACAAGAAGGCCTGCCTGGAGGGGGGACACCCCCCCCCCACCCAGGGCTGCCGGCCTGTTAATCAGGAGCCCTTCTGGGCTGAGGAAGGAGCCCTGGAAGAAGCAGCCGGCTGGAGAAGAGGAATCCGAAAAGGGCATCGAATACCTGGGGGGGGGGGGGCGGGGGGGGTCTACTCTACAGAGCCTCCCTCTCTGCGGAGGGGCTTTTGGAAGAACAGACGGGGGGGGGCCGACTCACGCTCTGATGGGCACTGAGGTCCCTGTCCCTGAGTTCCCGCTTGGTCTCCACTTTAATTCTAGAGCACTGGAAAGAAGGGCAGGGGAGGGAGACGCCGTCAGCCAGCGGGGAAGGCCTGGCCCAGGAACACACACACACACACACACACACACACACACACATGAAAATCCAGCCACCCCAATCCCTCCCCCCCTAAAGGCCAATCTCTAGAGACTAAGGCTGGAGGGGTGGAAAGGAGGCTGCTGACTGACCCAGCCAGAAGCATTAGGCCAAAGTCACCAGGGACCCCCATGCCCTGAAGACCCCGCAGGGTTAGGGGGCTCTTATCAGTGGGGGCCCTTTGCGAAGGCTCCTGGGCCGGCCTCTGCTCCTCTCGACTTCCCTTCCGCCTCTTCTTTAGCCCTCCTGCTCTCCTTTTCATTCCCAAATCCTTCAGGGAGATCAGGGGTTTCGTGGGCCATCCGTGGGATCATAAATAACCCTGCAGCTTTCAAGAGGAAGTTCTCCTCTTTGATCTATCAAAGACTCCTTTGTCTGCCCAGGTGCTAACCTGGCTAAGGTCTGGCTTTAATTCTTCTATTAAACAGCCCTGTAAATAAAGCTAGCAGGTCCCCAATCGATTTTCTAGCTCTGGGTACACACTCCGTGCAATTTGGCACGTCCCACGACAAACATTAGCAAAGGCAACTGATAACTGCCGGCGCACCCATTTTTAAAAATGTCCCTGAGGGACTATTTCACGCCTAGAGCCTTTGAGGCAACTGCCCGTCCCCCCCCCCAGGGCCCAGACGGCAGCCGGTCGGTCGGGGTTTCAGCCACGGCTTTCACAGAGCCAGAAAAACTTCGCCTTTTGTGCCCTCGGAAGATGCAGGCACCTGTGGTTCTTAGGAATCATTTTTGCATAACTTCCATCATAATAAAAGTTTTAAAAAGGAAAATAAAGAAGAGAGCATGACGCTGCAAATAATTAGATCATTAAACAAATGTAAGGGAACTCTGATTAAAACAGAACCAAAGAAGGCCTAAGGCAACTCATAACGTTACAAATGCGTAAATAGTTTTTGTACAAAGTTTACCTCCAAACTGCTGCAGCTTACTCTTAAATCCTACTTATTTGCTAATCCGAGGCTGAAGTTAAAATTGGCTGTTTCCCTAGAAAAGATTTAGTTATCTCCATATCCTTACTAAATTGGTTTTCTGCAAATCCCCTGACATGCTTTATGATGCCCGTGTCTCTGACCTGTATTTTTATTCCCTATGCTGGACAGCAAAATAATCCTTTCCAGAACTTCAACGGCTGGAAAAGTAAAATGAGCTTGCCGATGGCCCTTAGAATTTATTCCTTGGAAAAGGGAAACGCGGGAGGAAACCCGGATGAAGAAAGAGGAGATGGGAGGGGAGAGAGAGGCCGGAAGGGAAGGCCTCAGCAGGGCAAGAGGACAGGCCCCCCCCCAATAATCCCTCCCCCCCAAGCAGATTGGACCTGCCTGCAGCATCTGATTGACCAGAGAGGTCTGACCAGCAGCAACACTGCCCCCCAAGGGCCCCTGGGCAGGGTGGGGGGGGAGCCCACAGAGAAGGGCAGCTGTTCCAGAAGGGGACACAGACATCAGCCATCACAGCGGGAGAAAGGAAGGAAACCCAACCGGACCTACAGAGAAACCCCGGAGGAGGAGGAGGAGGAGGAGGAGGAGGGGGGCTGACCTGGGCAGAAATATAGGCGAGCTGGCTGTCCTTCTCCCGGCTCTCCTGCCTCAGCTTCTCGGTGTCCGCTTTTAACTGCTGGATGCGCTGCTCCTTGGAGACCACGTCCTTCTGCAAACTGGTCACCAGCCCTGCAGGGAGCAGCAAAGGAAACCCGAAGCCATCAGCTCAGCTGCCTCCAGCTGTGGGGAGCTAAGGGGGTGGGGTGGGGTGGGGAGAAGAGGTGAACTCGGCAAAAGGAGGAAGTGTGTGTGTGTGTGGGGTGGAAAGGGTTGTCAAGCAAAGCAGGAAGGAAAAAGGCAGCCTCTGTGAGGAAGCCTAGATGCAATCAGAATACTCTTTGGCTACATGCAGGGGCCCCACCCTCCTTTCTTTTTCCTTCCATTCAGTCTCCTCTGCTTCTCCGAGGCTGCCTCCTGCACCCGTCTCCTTGGCAAGGCTGTGCAGAAGTGGTTTGCCATTGCCTCCTTCCTGGGGCTGAGAGGGAGCGACTGGCCCAAGGTCACCCAGTTGGCTTTGTGGCTAGGGCGGGGACTAGAACTCACCGTCTCCCAGTGTCTAGCCTGATGCCTTCACCGCTGCACCACACTGCCTCTCCCCCCCCCACTTCTTTAACCCAGCACTGTTCTGGGAAGATAAGCCCCTTCTTCACGGGGAGGGGCTCCAATTTTAGGCCACATCACTGACATCACAACATGCCCACAGGGGAAGGCGTAGGCAGTGGGTCCCCTCTGTGGAGGATTTACACCCGGCACCCGCTGTGAGGTGAGGCGGCCAGGCTGGATGTAATATCCCAGAGGGTTTTCAAGTAATCTTGTTTTTTACCATGGCGCCTTTCCTGATGCCTGCTTTCTATGCCCAGGGCCACCTTGGTGAGATAGACGGCTGTATAAACGCCATGAAGGAAGGAAGGAAGGAAGGAAGGAAGGAAGGAAGGAAGGAAGGAAGGAAGGAAGGAAGAAAGGAAGGAAGGAAGGAAGGAAGGAACATTTTCCTCCTGTTTTCCGGAAGACAGGAGAGGGCCCGTTCACCGGCCGGTCAGGTGCCTCCTCTGAGCTTCTGGGAGGAGGAAAGGAAGGGAACAAGAGGGTGTCTGCACCTGTGGTGAGGGCGTAGCTCTTCTTCAGCGCCTCGTTCTCCTGCTTCCAGTGGGCAATTTGCAGGTCGCGGTCCGAGAGGGAGTGATACAGGACTTCGCTGGTGTCTTTCTGCAAACTGCTGACCTGGGAAGAAAAACACAAGAGCGGGAAACACGGAGGTGAGCACACACGCGTGCAGAGAGCAGCACCCTCGCCGCACCCCCCCAACACACACACACACACACACCTGCTCCTTCAGCCTCCTGATCTCTTCGGCCTTGGCTTCGGCATCTCTGTCGAGGCTGGCCAGCTTCTGATGGAACTCGGTGTCCTTCTTGGCCAGGGTTGCCACCACCTTCTCGTTCATGGCCAAAATCTCGTGCTGCAGTTCTGCGATCAGCGTGTCCTTGCGGCCGCACTCGCTTTCTAAGGCGGACAAGCGGTTGATTTCGTCCCCCAGCCTCAAAATGGTCTCTTCCTGCACAAGGAAATAAGTGGATGAAACAAGAGAAGGAAAGGGCCGTTGTCCTATTCTTCTTCTCCTGCTATATCCTTCCATGAATTGACCGGTGGTCAGTTCCCTAACTCCAATGGCCAGCCAGCTTTCTCTGAGGCCCTGAGAGGTCATCCAGCCTTATTGCTCAATCTTTGGGGGTGGGGGGAGTGGGGGGTGGAGGAGGAGATTGCTGGAAGGAAAGGCTGTTTCTGGCTATCTCCCTGGGAGGTGACCACCTCCTCTTCCTCCTCCCTCCCTCCCTCCCTCGCCTGGTTGTTGTTGTTTTTTTTTACACTTTCATCTGTTCCACTTCGGAAAGGGCTGCTCTTCCCTCCTGGATGATTTATCTGGCCCCACTGATACTCTTCCTCATGGTGGGTACCCACAAACAGCTTTGCGAAGCCGTCTCTTTCCCTCTCTCTGACCGCAAGTTCTTGCCTGGGCTAAAATCTTCCTTTTCAAGTCCATCAATCTTTCCTGTGGTTTTGATTCCCGGGCAAGATTTTTATTTTTCTTAATGAGAATATTTGAGGCTGATGGTCTCAAGCGGCCATCGTTGTGCTTGCTTCCCGCAACTCAGCTTTGGTGCCGAGAGACTTTGGGGCCTGTCCGGAGGGAGAACCAGGGCGGCCTTGCCCAGGAGGGCCTTCGGGGCTCCCGGGAAGCCCCCACACTGGAGAAGGGCGTAAAAAGCAGGGGGCCTCGCTCACCTTCTCTTTCAGAAGCGCGTCCCCCGCGTGGCTGATGGCCAGAGGGGCAGGGAGGGCTCCGTTGCCTGGAAGGGAACAGAAAAGAAGCGGGCAGCAGCCCATGGAGAGGGATGCGGGGCCTCTCTTCCTCCCCCCCCCCCAACATTGCGATCTTTGAAGGAACGACAGAGTGAAGCTCAGCTCCAGGCCCAGTTTCTGCCTTCTGGAGAGCCGTACCTGTGAGGGTGGCTGGAGGCCAGCTGGAAGGCTCAGGAGGGAAGGCAGAGGAGGAGACGGTCCTGCCCCAGGCGCTCCCGGGAAGCCTCTTTCGGAGGGGGGGACGGGGCGAGGCCCCGCTTGCTGCGTAGGGCCAGCTGGGGCTGGCGGGCGAGGACTGCGGAGAGGGCAGCCACGGAAACTGGGGAGCAGCAGCTGCCAAAGGAAGGGGAGCTGCCTCTGTCACCATCTGGATTTGGCCCGGCCAGGCAATGCGCCGATTCACTGGAGGACACGGCACCTGCTGGAGGACGTGCAGGAATCTCGTCTGTCCCCGGAGCCTTTCCCAGAGAAGTGGGGGGGGGAGACACTGCAAACCTTAGTTGGTTCACCTCATGCTCCGTGGGAGTTTGAGCTGATTACACACAACGCTTACCACCCACAACCAAGAGAGAGAGAGAGAGAGGGTCAGTTAAGAAATAAGAAATATAAATCAATAGATGGCCTTCATCCCGTCAAACAGGCAGGGGGGTCACTGGGGGAGTTGACCCCATGGGGAGAGAGGACAGTGGCTATCATAGCAGGGTAAGAATGCCAGGGACTTCAGCTCCCATAAGCCCCGGAAATCGCCATGCCAGACGTGGTGTGTGTGATTGCGATCCCTTGCTTGGGTCAAGCAGCTTCCTTTTAACAGCAGTCAGGGCCCAAGAGGACTCTCAGATGGGGAGGGGAGCAGCTTCTCTGGCTGTCCCCATCGCCAGCACCTTCTTTACCTGAGCTGGATGGTCCAGCACCAGCTCGAAGGTCGGCCCAGCGGAGCCGAAGCGCAGCAGGTCCCCCGGGCCCACCTTCACGGCCACATTCTGGATCTGGCAGTCGTTCACAAAGGAGCCACTGCCGGTGTTGAAGTCCCGCAGAACAAAGCTGTGCTCGGCGTCGCTGAACTCGAGGGCAGCGTGGTGGTCTTCCAACCCTGGAGACTGAAGGGGAGCCTTTTAATTTAACTGCACAGCATCCGGAGCACAAACGAAAGGCAACACCGTCCCAAGAGAGGCAGGGTCAAAAGGGGGAAGAAGTGTTTTCCCAGCGTCTTTTTCTCTCTCCTCACTAAGAAGATTTGGGCGGTTTCCCACACATCCAAAACCAAAGCTCTGACTGGCTTAACACCTCACTTCCGCTGTGAGGCAGCAGAAAGACAGATTCAATGGAGTGGGAGAGGTGTGGGGGAGGGAAGCCTCGAGCGCCCCACCAGGGGTGACACGCAAGGACGAATGTCCTACCTGGAACGCTTGTGCTTTTACCTTAAGAACGATGTCCGAATCATCGTGCTTTCCTATCGTGGTTATCTTTGGCCTGAGTGCCAAGATGCCATCGGAGCTCCTCAGAAAGGCCTTCATGCTCTCTGCCGGACGGACGACGGACGGGGTGAGAAAGCACAGACTAGGTGGCTTAGTTGGGAATGCCCACCCCGCAAGCCCTGGGCTCAGAGGGGAAGTCCCTGCCAGCATCACTGCCCAGGGGGAACTGCCCAGGCCCCCTGGTTGGAGCGGGACAGGCAGGACCCTCCAAAGGGGCAGAGCAAGGCTGAGCACCCCCACCCACCCCGCAGAGCCTGGGGCAGCCCCAAAACCTGCTTGTCCCCCAAGGCCAAAAGCGGGGAGGGCTCACCCCCCCCCTTCTGCTTCCCTCTCAGCTGGGAGGGCTCTGCCTTCAACGGGGAGCCTGGCAGCCCTTTTACTGGGGGGGGGGAGGGGGAGGAGAGGCCCAGCCTTTAATGTTGTTATTGTTCTTCCTTATTGTTATCATTTATTATTAATTTTATTGTGATTGTGATTAAGATTTAACCTTCGATTCAGAGTCTGGGACTAGTAAAAGCAGTTCAGGCCCTGACCAAGAGCTGTCTTGCTGGCGTCTGAGTCTTACGTTCTTGCTATTTAAGATGATTATTATTTATTGTATTAATAATAACAATTTCCCCCCAGTTTTCGGGGGGGGCGCTAACCTCCCACCGCCACTTTCACCCCTCCCCCCGGTCAGGAGCGCCTCCCTGGGAAAGAAGCAACCCCCTCCGGAACTGAAGGGCGGACTACGAAGCCCATAGTCCCCAGCTGCTACCCCACCCACCCTGCGCAGCCCCCCCCGAGGAACGTGGCGCTCTGCATACGCTCAGAGGCACCGCGACAAACTCACCGGGGGCTCCTCGCGCGAAGTCGGCGCGAGTCCGCCGAGACGCTGACCAGCCTCCCGCCAAGCGGAGCCGTACCCATGGCAACAGTACTAAGCCACGCCCTCCAGCCGGAAAAGGCGGGTCTCCGCGGCGACCGCTTCCGTGTTGCGCCGAGGCGGGGCCGTTCCCATAGAAACGGAGTGCAGCCGGCCGCCAGGCGCACGCGCAACTACCGCGCCAATAGGCGAGCCTCGAGCAGCGGCCCCGCCCACCGTGCCGCTCCGTGAAGCGCGGCCCTTCCGGGCGGACTCCAACTCCCAGAATTCCCCAGCCGTCAGGTCTCGGGCGTAAATCCTGGGAGTTGAAGTCCATCCATTTTAAAGCTTTCAAGTTAAGAAACCCTGGATTAAACCACAGCGGGCGGGTTCCCACGGCGCAAGCATCACCCACGCTTTTCCCAGCAATGCCCTGTTCACACAGCGTGCCAAGTTCTGCCCTGTGGCACCTTTTGACAAGGAACGACCCCCCTCTTTCCCCAGCGGTGACCCCCAGGAGGTCCCAGTCCCCTGAGGGGGGGGGCTTGAAAGACAGCCAACAATCCCAGGAGCACCACTGGGGGTGCAGACCCTCAGCCCCCCCCTCCCCTTGCTGGGACATAAAGCAAGGATATAAAGCAAGATCTGGATCAAAGCAAGATCTCACCCGTTTATTCTCTTTTTAAAAAGGGCTTCTCCCATCCTCCCCCCCCCCCTTCCAGCATAAAAAAAGGTTACACCCTTGTGGAAAAATAAGTTTCACATTTCCAGTTCAGCAGCTGCAAAACCCAAGGGAGACAGTCCAGAGCCCCCTCCTCAAATGAGGAGATCTCTGGGGCAGGCAGCAGATCCCAGATCCCGATGGACTGTAGTAGTTCTGTTTGGCGGTTGCAATCTTTGATTTCAAGGCACCTGAGTTTCCTTCAGGTCATCAAAAATCCACGTTTGGTGGAAAAGGAGACCCAGTCTGAAACCCCACTGATGGAAACTGCCACCAAAAAAAAATAAAAATTAGTCTGGCAAACATGCCAAACTGGAGTGCTAGTTTTGAGAGGTGGGCATTACCAAATAGAAATATAAAAATGACATAATTTACAAAAAAAACCCACATATATATACACACACACAAACACACCATAACCCAAAGGTTCATATTGCTAAGATGGTATCAATACCCACCCACCCACCCCGGCCCGCCTTGAGCAGAGCTTCCAGACAGGATTTGGCAACCTTCCCAAGCAATCCAGCCAGCCAACTGGAGAAAAGAGCTGGAGAAAAGGGCACCCGGCTGAGTCTGATGGAGGGGGTCCCTTGGAGGGGAAAAAAAATGGGTATTCCCAAAATCCCGGATGGGCCAGGATCACAAGAACAAAGACCCCCGAGGCATTCTGTGAAAGGCTGGCTCTCCAAGGCGCATCCATCTCCCCCTTCCGAGGTCCAGCTGAGCCACGGGGGACCGGGGGGGGGGGGTCGAGGTGGTCTTCTGGCTTGGTTCCAAATCTTGCCAACTGGACACGAGCCCACCCCCCTCTTCTCAAGAACCCAAGCACTTCCGGTGCTTCCTGCAAAGATGTCCCTCGAGTGACTTCAGGGCTCCCCCTCCCGGGGGTCTGGCAGCTTGGGGGGGATGTCGTCGTACTGCGGAGGGGGGGTGAGTGGCTCGATGGTGACCCGGGCAGGAGGGGTGCCCCCCAGCTGGAGCTTCTTCAGGTGCAGCTTCTCAGACTTGATCCTGCGCACTTTCAAGGGCTTCAGGCGTTTGCTGAGGCGGGAGCTCTGCCGGGTGGGTGGGCGCTCCCCGCCGGGCCCGGGGGCTGCCCCAGTTGCTGTCCCTGCCGCCGTGGGGCTGGGCCTGGTGGGGAGGCTTTCATCCAGCCCCGTGAGAGACTCGTAGGAAGGAAGGGAGACGCTGATGCGGGTCCCGCCTTCGGCCTCCTGCCGGGGCTCCGGGTAGACGCCGTTGACCACCTCCTCATAGCTGGGCACGTAGTAGCGGGAGAGGCTGTCGTCGTCTTCTTGGCTGCAAGGGGGGGCACATCAGGAGACGTGAGTGCTCAGGAGAGGCAACCCCCAGATTTGGGTCTCTCCCTTTCAAACATTTCCCTCCCCCCACCGCCCCTTTAAATGCATGGAAGGCTGGAACAAATGACCTCAAATGCCAAGGCTGGACATGCCACACACCAGCCATCAATGGGGGGGGCTGTTGCCATCCAATCCCCCTTGCTGCATAGTTGCCCAGTGGGGGCTCCCCCCCTCCCCAGATCAAGCCAAGGGCAATTTCCTTGCATGCACTCTGCAGCCCTGCCCCCCCTCCTCTCTCCAGGCCCTAAAAACAGGACAGGCCCACAGGCGGGCTAATGCGGGCCTGGCACAGGGTGGGAAAATCTGGGTGGGAAAGCCGTGCTCCTCCCTGCTCACCTGTCCTCCGGGGGAGGCCGCTCGACCGAGGACTGCGGACGTATCCGGACGACGTCGTCTTCGCGGTGCCTCGGCTTCCTTCTGTCCCGGATGGTCAGGCAGATGGAGAAGAGGAGCAGCAGGACGCCGGCCCCCACCAAGACGTAGGCCACCGAGAAGGTCTTGTTCCTGTGCAGGAGACCTTTGCTGACATCGGTCTCGTTCTGGTGGCCGCCGGCCGTTGGGTGGGGCTTGGCGCTGAGGCCGAAGCCTGGGACCAGGTTCCAGACGGCCATGATGATTCCGAGGACCAGCATCCCCAGCCCAATGGCCGTCAGGGCGTAGTGGGAGCCACTGCTGGACCTGGACTGGGCCATCCTCAACAGCTCTCAGAAGAGACCCAGTGGATCCCTTCCTCCTTCGCTGATGAAGGCCCCGGGCTGGGTTCACTCAGAAGATCCAGGTGGGAAAAGGGGATCTGGAGAAAGAGAAGGGACCAGGGTCAAATTCAGGTGAAGAATATTCCTGGCAAGGCATCAGGCAGCGGGCGCAGAACTAGAGAAATTAAAATTTGGCCTAACATTTGGGGAGAAATAAAATTATCTGTTTCTTTCTGGATGAATTAAGCCACTTCTGGGCAGAAGCCCCCCCCCCCAGTCTTTGGGATGACAAAATATTCCTCCCATTTTCCTGGGAATCCTTGCAATCCCCAGTTCTGCTCCTGGGAGGGGAGCTTCCTTCCTTTTTGCAGATTTATTTCATTCGTGCCGTAGCAAATGGCAGCACCTGGATGTCTGGAAAAGGACAGGGGGGGGTTGTGCCTCCTGCTTAGCAGCTGGATGGCAGACCACTGTGAAATCCCACGACCAGGGAAAAGCAGCCTGTGTGGCTGTGTGCATGAAGTCACAAGCAGGGGATCGACTCAGAGCAACTGTGCCTCTGATGTTTAGGATTATGGTTCCCTTTGCTGTGGAGAATGGGAACTCCGGTCCAACACAACTGCTTGGGAATAACCCGTGGAAAGCTACAGCTTTGAAAAACTAGCTGATGCAGTAAACTACCAGGACCAACCTCCCAATTTTTTAATATAATTTTTAAATTGCTTTAAAAATAATAACAGAAAAAGAAAAAAAACCCAAAGGAACAAAACACAAAGATACATACATTATATATATTTTAAAAGCCTATAACAAGCACTTAAAAATAAATACCAAAAAATACAACAGAAAAAAAACCCAGAGTGATCAGAAATGCACGCCCCCCCCTTTCTCTGGGCTCTGGGCTCCCCCCCACTCGGTTTCCTCTCCAGCCCCAAAGAAAAACCCCTTTCCAAGCATTCAGATGCTCCACCAGAAATTTGGCAAACTCTGTTTTAGATTACTTCTCTTGTGGAATGGCTGCGTTCCAGAAATAAAGCCAGGATTAAAATAGAACCCCAGACACAATTTTAACAAATCCCACTAGACACAAACCCACATGCACTAGGAAGGATTTAGCGTGCACTAAAAGAAAAATTAAAAATCACAACAATAGATCAATGCAGGCCCAGAATGGGAGGAAAAGCGCAGACCAGATTTGACCAAACAACTGGATGTTTTTCACTCTTTCCACGGCAGGAACCACCAAACTGGTCGCCTCATTTAAAGTTAATCATTGTTAGCACTAACCACTTTCTTCTTCCAGATGAATGCACTGGAGTTAGTTCGCTGCACATGCTCCCAGCTGGCGAGCTGGAGAAACAGGGAGAGATGCCAGACTAAAAAATAAAGAAATAAAAGTTCTCCTCACTCCTGATAACTTCATGGCTGCATCGACACAGCCCTCTTGGCGTGTATCAGCTTACCCCGCCTTCTCTCAAGGGAGAGTTTTTTACTGCCTGGTGGTCTCCCATCCAGCTTGCTTTCTCGGTCAGCTAGGGTTAGCTACTGCTGCTGCCCCTGCTGGGCAAAAGCTCCCCACCCTAATTTAATCTGGGACTTTTGCCCTGGCACCACCCAAGGGCAGCCACCCTGCCCAGCCGGCATTCCCCGGTGGCTTCCCAGGTTGAACGGGTTCCCCCTGCCTCCCCCATCTCAGTCCCCCCACCAAGAACCGTTACGCAGCACAGCCGAGAGACGGCTCGCCAGCCCCCCCAAAGCTGTAGCTCCCGGCTTTTCCTCCAGACCGGTTCTCGGAGACACAGCCTGCAGCCTTGCCCGCTGGATGAAAGCGCCCAAGGGAGACCCATCTCATCTGCCAGGAGAGGATTTCTGGGGAGGGACAGCCCCGGGGGCCACCTGGCTCAACAGGCTGACTGGGAACGGGCCAGCCTGAACGAGGGCTGGAACCTCCCAGCAGCGCTTTTAGCACTGTCAAAATTGAAAAAGGTGGGGTTAACGGCTGATTCCGTGGGATTTGCGGAAGTGCAAAGACGAGGAACAGATGGCATTGCCAAAGGAGGATGCGGAATCACATCGACACAAAACGGAGCATTTGCAGATGGCACTGGATGCTGTCAGAGGGTTGGCAGGAATTGTTTTAAAAAAAGGAAAACGAAAAGAAAGCACCTCTGGAGTAGACAAGGGTGCCCTTTCCCCATTTCTCTCGGATCGCGTTTTCTTCACATGGGAATAGAACAAAACGGAGCCTCTGTGCTCGCAAAGAGCCCAAAGCCGCATTCAAGAACTTGGATTCCCGTCAATTATACAATTAGTGTGTGGAAGGAACATGACGCGGGCAGCAGGAAATGAAAGCCGGGTCTTCTGAGTACAGAATTAACAGCCACAGCAGAGGAGGAGGAGGAGGAGGAGGAGGAGGAGGAGGAGGAGGAGGAGGAGAGGATGGGGAAACCTGAACACGCTTGTAGGGCCTCCACTCGCCAATCTGGCCTGACCGATTTGTTTTCAGCATTGTGAGGCAGAAAATGCAGGAAAAGTGACCCCTCAAAATAGTCCGCCTCATGGGGGCCGCAAGGCTTAAAAGGGAAGGCAGATGGACAGACGTGGCTTTTCTCTCCCAAGCCTTCTAAGCTCCCTCCTAAAGCAAACTCGGCTTTCACACGGACCCTCAAATCAGCTGAAAGACAAAGCCCAGAACACGGGCATCGCCCCGTGCCCAAGAACGGCCCGGTGCCCATGATGCCCACGAAGGACACAAGAGCAACAACGCGTCCGTCTTACCCAGAAAGGGCCGATCCCGACCAGGCCCCTGCCAAAGCCGAGGGCCAGCCAGACCACAGTGAGGAATGAACAAAAGAGGAAATGACAAATCTTTGCCAAGTTGTATCAAAACAGACTTACTCCAAGATGTTGCAACAAAGGGACCTCCGTCTGACTGTTAACCTGACTAAGAGTTAACTAACTAACTAGCCCACTTTCCTTTGATGGAAATTATTTGGAATGGATGAAAAAGGATGAACAGCTGGTCTGTGGGAAAATCCCGCTTCTCTCTCCATCCGTCTCCAGCCTCTCCAAGGCTTCAGAGCGAGGGAAGCAGGATCTGGGTAGGCTTCAGAGCACCAGGGACACCGAAGCTGTGGCCATTTGGGGATCGCCAAACCTTCATGTGGACTCTGAATCGCCTTTTCCCTTTCGGGTCTGGATTGCTCAAGGCCTGCCGTGAAATTGGCTCACAGTCACTAGGAGAAATTCCCCAGCGCCCACTGAAAAGAGGGTCTCTTTGGACATTTGGTCATTTCATTCTGACACAGAGGGGGAAGCTGCTTTCCCTGAGCATAGACTGTTCCCTGCCAAGGTTGTTCCAGGGGGCAAAGAATGTGTGGACACAGCTATCATCTCGGTGTGCAAGATAAGCCACAGTTATGTATTCCGAAGCTGTTTGGCCAAACGTTGCCCCTGTGCTAAACAGGGGCGGACTTTTCAGTGACTGCCTGCTTTTAAACCCATTATAAAAAGAGTAAAAAAACAAGATAATGACACACACGGAACCCTTTTGACTCTGCGGGAAAATGAAGCAGGAAAATGGGAGGGTGGGAAAATCAATATCAAATTATTTTTCTTGGCTTTATCATTTGGAAGAAAGATTCTAGCGTGGAGGAGACAATTGCAGCCCATTTCAATTTTTCTGTGGTTTTCCTCGGTTTCTTTTAAAGATTGGAAAGACCAGGCTACAGACAGATCCTCATGGAGAAACTCTATCGATGAGGTCGGGAGGAGTCAAAAAAGGACTTGATAGCACACAATCAATCAATCAATCACCTATTTTGAGTCCATCTAGTGAAATCAATACGCTGGCTTTGATGTAATGCAGCTCTGAGCCAGGCAGGAGCCATTAAATCTTCCCGTCTCCTCAGTACTTCTCTGCTTACAATTCAGAGCTTTTTTGTCTTGGATCACAAGTCCTCCAATTCCTCAGTATGACAGGAAACCCCGTGCTGTTTTCAAATTCTGGGGTTTGTAGTCCCAGTGGGGAACAAGGCTGCTTCACTCCACTTTTTCAAAAGGCCATCAGTTATTGCACCGCAGTGTCGGATCACCACAGATTTTCTGGCCAAGCTCACCTTATCCTGACAACACTGCACTCTATCATTATCATAATTATTATTTTGTAAATGCTGTATCCCCATCAAAGCTGCCACACAACCCTCATTATAGTCTCCTGCTGCACAGAAATTAAAATGAGAAAGGGGGTAAAATTATCCAGGGTTGTTGAATTCATTTTCACTTATTCAGGGAAGGAGATATTAAAACAGAATAACGGTACAAAAATGGGAGAAAGGGGGAAGGGAGGAGATTTTAGTGATAAAAGAAAGCTGAGCCTATGAGTACAGGGTATTGTAGGGAGATCAATCATGTAAGATAATTGAGGCCACCGTGCATATTGCCTAAAATACACAATTGCAGATAATTAGAATTTAACACCAGGCCAAATGGACAAATTCGCTAATTTACAAATGTGAAGGCCCTTAAGGTAAAAAGTCAGAAAAACATCACTTTCTGCTGGTTTACATGTACTTAATCATTGTGGTTTATTCCCTAAACCACAGGCCATAATAGCAAGGGTGAAATGCATACATTGTCCTATAAACAGATTCGTAGAACGCCCCCAGGTGCAATGCGGCTGGTTTGAATTTAAGGCACTTGTACCAAACCAGCTGTGGTCTGTTCAATAAATCGTGGTTAAACAGGTTATTTCTTAGATTGCCACCTAAACCAGACCTGCAAGATCAGGGGGGTTATTATCCTTTTGGGCCCAGAAAGGAACACTTCTCTGCATCCAACTGTAACATGCAGCAAGTCTTACTTGCTTAAGTCATCTACGTTTTGCAGTTTGAGGAGAGATTTGGACGGGACCCTCTTGCCCCAGCTGGATGTCGGCGCCTCTTTTGGGTTGCTTTTCATTGCAGGCAGTCCTTGCCTTACAACAGTTCGTTTAGTGA